TTTTACTCTACTGTCACCACTAGGTCACACCCAGCCCGCTTCGTGTGGTTTTTCTCCATAGTTTTACTCTACTGTCACCACTAGGTCACACCCAGCCCGCTTCGTGTGGTTTTTCTCCATAGTTTTACTCTACTGTCACCACTAGATCACACCCAACCAGCTACATGTGGTTTATTTCCATATTTTTGCTCTACTGTCAATGGAAAACCAGATGGAAAGCAAGTCATCAGACATCACATTCTTTTAATCTCTCATTGTCCTTAGTTCCGCTCTAAGCACGATTGTTTGCATACGAGATAATAGATGTTGGCTTCTAACGTTTTTTGTAATTTTCTTCGCATAGTATGATTGGGTCAGTTGGGTCAAAGACTGACCTCTGCTGCTCCTTATAAGCTTGTCCAATCGTTTTTGTATTTCTTAGATTGGCAACTTTCCAGCAACTGTCAATTACAGACATTGTTTTCATTGCTATTATTGATAGATTCTAATTAGATATGTCTTTGAACAGTCAGTTAAATAAATGGTCTTTCATAACGACGCTCCTGTTAGAAAACCATCTATCATCAAATCCATTCGAAAGTCGATCGTATGTCCTTGCTCTTACCCATTCTCTTGTACATCAACTATGATATGACTACATTCTCTTGCTTATAGAGGACGAGCAGTCAGCTGACATATCACATAATGATTTTTGTTTGTATTTGCAAATAAATGAAGCGTTCTACAAACGTATGTGACAAGGTCCTGATAAAGAGGCTAGTCAATGATTATAAAAGTTTTTCTTTTTTTTGGAAATTCGCGCAAAGCTACACAAGGGCTATTTCCACTAGTCGTCCCTAATTTAGCAATGAAAGACTAGAGAAAAGGCAGCTAATCATCACTACCAACCGCCAACTCCTGGGCTACTCTTTTGCCAACGAGTAGTGGGATTGGCCGTCACATTATAACGCCTCCACGGCTGAAAGTGTGAGCATGTTTGATGGGATGGTGGATTCGAACCCGTGACCAGCAGATTGCGAGTCGAGCGCCCTAACCACCCGGCCATGTCAGGCCTTATCAAACTGAATTACATCTTCTAACTTTTTTTTATATTCCATAATTGTGTTCCTCGATAGCTCAGTAGTAAGATTTCGGACTTATAACACTTTAATTCGGTGATCGATAGCCACGGTGGGAACAGTGAAGATAGCTAATTATTTAGCTTTGCATTTAAACAAAAACGAATCATAATTGTATTTTTGACTTTATCTTTAATTATTGTTACTTCCCTGAGTGTGTCTGTACTCTATAATCAAAGATATTATTTTATGCTTTTAGTCGTATCGATAATGAAGTTTAATTAACATTTTACCCCCAGTGGCACAGTGGTTTCGATACCCGTTGTGGGCAGAGCACAGATAGCCCTTTGTGTAGCTTTGTGCTTAATAACAAACAAACAAGACAAAATTAACATTTTACGTATCCTTACAATACAGATTGTCACTGTTGTGAAGTATGCATTCCAATTTCTTTGAGAAATTAATATAATTTTTTATCATCAAATCAATCTAAACAGAAATGAAATTTTACAAACCTTCTGCAAAACTCTTATGCCTTTGTTCCTGTTTTGTTTTGTTTTTCAGTTAACTTCCAGGATCATGTGGTCATCAGGACGTACTAAGTTATTCCTCTTCATAGTTCTGGTGGGCTTTTTCCATGGCTACAGGTTCACAACACGACTCACACGTAGAAGTATGAACGTCACTGGCGATATTATGCTTGGAGCTTTGTTTCCAATTCACGAGCGAAGTAATCGTGGTCACGAGTGTGGTCGATTACAGGTGAAACTGTTTCAATCAAGTCACTTTTATAAAACTTATACCACTTAAGAACATCTTTGTGGATGAGCAGATGTTAAACAAATATCATGTTTAAATATAGGAAAGTACCTAATGACAGGTGTTCCTGTGCTAGGAATAAAAAATATAACTATATAATAGTTTCTAGGGTTTTGGTCAGGATAGTTACAGTCTCAAACCATTAGGCCTAGCTAATATTCCTTAGCATATTCCATTTTCTTTAATTACCTAATTTCAAATTTTCCGAGAGTTTGGGAATCGAATCCCGGATTTTAGCGTTGCAAGTTCTTAAACTTACCGCTGTCCCACCGGGGTACTTTCAGAGGGACAAATCATATATATATATATATATACTAATGAAAACAAGCTACCGTTGCGTGTTATACACTACAACAACATTAAAACATCTTTCTTCCTTACGCTGTCTGTGATAAACAGATTGTATGTGAAGGTTGTTATATCATCCATTTGTTCACTTTATTATATTTTTATATCATCTCCATTAAACCAACTGTCCTGAACTGTTAAATATATATATATATATATATAATAATTCATATGTTTTCTTAATGTCTAGGAGGAAGGTGTTCAGCAGTTAGAAGCCCTCCTGTACACTTTAAAGAAAATAAACGAAGACCCCAAGTTACTGCCAGGAGTTAAGCTTGGAGTGATTGCCCTGGATAGCTGCGACAGCACCACCTATGCTTTAGAACAATCTCTGGATTTTATTAAAGGTTTCATTGCAAGAAGCAACTACCATGAAGAACAATTCACTTGTTCCGACAAATCTATGCCCAAGTTCAGTAATGGAAATTTCGACAGGATCGTTGGGATAATCGGCGGACAGTCCAGCTCTGTGTCCATTCAGCTAGCTAACATACTTCGCCTTTTTCACGTTCCTCAGGTATTGTTTTCGTGTTGTTTAAAACTCCACGTGTCCAAATATGTGAAAAGTCTTTTTTTTTCTCTTTTTTAAAAAGAAATAGTCCCCTTTTTTTATTAGTTATACGTTTTACAGTAGTTTCTTTTAATGGCGCAATGGAAGGTATCGATATCTAAAGACCATGTGTGGCTTAGTGTGTAAAATGATCCAGGGTTCGAAACATGATGCCACTGAACATACTGAGCCGACTAGCTTTTGTCCCTATTCAAACTATATCTGTACAGTGGCGTTCAGGTCAAAATATTCCAGTTCTTAACAACATCTAAGTAGTAACGTTTGGTTGGTTTGTTTGAAGTTGAGCACAAACTACACAATGAGCTATTTGTGATCTTTCCACCACGGGTATCGAAACACGGTTTCTAACATTATAAGTCCGCAGACATACCGATGTGCCATTGGGGGGAAGTAACGTTTGGATGAAAAGAATGTGCTTCCAAATACAGCATTTTAATAAAAAACTTGAACTATGCTATTTTACTCTAAAAACTTATATGAGGTTAGAAGAGACTTCCAGGTGGGAAATGTACCAGTTCCGACTTCCAGGTGGGAAATGTACCAGTTCCTGTGGTCGTTCATCAGTTTTTCCTTGTAACATATTTTGGTGAAGTAAAGTTAGTTTCAAGGTTAGTTTATAATGAAGAAGGTCATAATTTGTAATTTCTGACAGGTGTCTCATTTCGTTTCGTTTCCACAGATCAGCTACCAGTCGACTAGCCCAACGTTGAGCAACAAAGAAAAATACGAATATTTTTTCCGTACAGTTCCCTCTGATGTCAACCAAGCTCATGCTATTTTGGAGCTCTTAAGGCATGTTTTTATTTCAAATATCCTTTTTGTGGGGGGGGGGCAAAAGTAAAACTGATTTTCCTTATTACAGGATAAACATTTTAAAGTTTAATCCACCCAAACTTTGCAATACATATTTATGAATTGAGTTACATTAAATCAACGTGTCACTTTTGGGGCATAAAAACGGTCAGATTTTGAATTGAACTGAGGTAAAAATTAAACTTAAAAACATGTATTTAAATGTGAAACATTTGTTCCTAGAATCAATGATAGTTTTATTTGACTTTTCTTCAGTTGATTTAATAGTAAAGCCGAACCCTCTCCTTTAAAATATCAAGCACTTTCGTTATTAAGTATTTGATCGGGTAGAAGGCGTGATTTTACAATATATATATAAGTAATTGTATTTATTTCGTCGATAAAGCGTCTTACTAGAATAGATAAACATTGACTTAAATATTAAGTAACACTAGTCATACGGTTTTATAATGTATGAAAATGTTCCCCTCGAAATTCAGAACCTCCGAAAATGTGTTATTTTATTACATTATAATGTCTTATAGCTTACTTTAAATATGAATGAAACATTTAGGTTGTTGATTTCAATATAAATATATAATAAGGCGCATTTCCTCGCTCAGAAAGAAGATATCTATAATTAAATTAAAGTTTTTTTGAAACCTCTTTGTCTTCTAGAAGATTTAAATGGACCTACGTTTCCATTGTATATTCTAACACCGACTACGGAAATAAAGGTTATGAAAAGCTACAAGACCTAGCACCAAAGTACAACATCTGTTTTTCCAATCCACAGAGCATCAACAGTGACCATTTCGTTGTCGAGGACTATGACACAGTTATACAAAATCTCAAACAGAAGACCAATGCCAGAGGTATGCCTTAAAATAATAACTTAATAAAAATTATTTTAGCCTCCCCCCCCCCCCAGTGGCTTGGCAGTAAGTCTGCAGACTTGATACCCGTGGTGGGCAGAGCACAGATAGCCCATTGTTTATCTTTGAGCATAACTACAACAAAACAAAAACTTATCTTTAGAATCTAGCGCCATCTGGTTTACAAGAAATTTACAGAATCGCCACAAATTACATTTTCGACTTGAAAACATTGTGGTATTACATTGCAGAGTTCTGACGGCCATCTACCATGATCAGTTAGTAACTCCAATTCTTTGAAAAATACTCCATGTTAGTCAGTATACTCGGTATTCTGGCTAAAACTTTCAGCGATCGTGATGGTATCAATAAATAGGAAAAAAGCTTTCATCTCCAGTGGTGCTCAGTAACACCGTTTACGGTTTAATTTTAGGGTTATGGTAAGCTTTTATAACAGCCCCTGGACACTCTTGAATTATTGCTAAACTGAAAATGGTGTTGTTGTTTTTGGTCATTTTTTAAAGTGAAAAACTACAGAATGGGCTAGTTGCACTCTATCCACTGAGAAAAATCGAACCCCGAATTTTCGCATTGGAAGCCCGTAAATTTACCTCTGTCCAACCTGCAGACAAAGTGAAAATACAAATGATATGTTGCTTGTAATTGGATTCCGCTGTAGTTTCATAACACATACAGTAAAGGTGTAAAACTGGTTCTTTGTTGTCTAATCCTCTTAGAGAGTCACTGTCCGGTTTCTATCACCTAACCAGAAAGCAATGGATAGAGGCAAACAAGCTGAGGTCAGGCCATGGAAGAACAGAGGCCAACCTGCATCGATGGGGTTATCGTGAATCCCCCTATATGCCCAGCATGTCAGGAATCCCCACAAGACACAGACCATCTCGTGTTGCACTGTCCGGTCACTGCGGTGCCGGGGGGATATGGAACAATCCATGAAGCGGGCGAGGCATTCATTGACTGGATCATGACTACGAATTTGGAGGTGTGAGAAACACCATACGCAACTACTAGAGGAAAGGAGGTAGTAATTCGTCCTCTCCTTCTAATAATTGGCCTCCCAGATGATGTTTAATTTATCATGATTTTTTCTACCACATTGTTTTAAACTTTAATGGCACTGTAGTAGAGGCTACGTCAACTCTTTACCTAAGAGTGAAGTGGAATTCTGCTGGCGCTCACCATAATACAATAATTCTAAATGGAGTTCTACTATTTTTTTATATTCCTTGGCAGTTCAATTTGAATAGTACTTGAAGGTTTTCCGCTTGCTGAAAACTTCGTATTTTATATACTGTGAGACCAGATCCTGCAAGAGATCAGCACTTATACTTCTTAAATAAGAATTTCACCACTAGCATTGGCATTTGAGTATTTCTAGAAATATTTAGGAGGCCAGTCACAAAAGTCACATCTCACCCAGTAGAAGAATACAGTATGCTTGTTTGTAGTTAAACACAAAGCTGCAGAATGGGCTATCTGTGCTGTGCTATGCCCACCACAGGTATCAAAACCCAATTTGTAACTTTATAAGCTTACAGACTTACCAACTAATGAAGAATAAGATAAATAAAATAAGAATGAAATTCAACAACTATTTACACGGGTGGGAAAAGTTAATTATATAGTTTAGTCTTGCATTTATCTATACAATACTGTATTAATTTAATAATATAATAATAATAATTAATAATTTAATAATAATAATTAATAATTTAATAATAATAACTGTTTTGTTTTTGATTATGCACAAAGATACACAAGGGCTATCTGCGCTCTGCCTACCACGGGTATCGAAACCCGGTTTCTAGCGTTGTAAGTCCGCAGACATACCGCTGTGCCACTGGGGGCTAATAATAATTAATAATATAATAATAAAAATAATAATTAATAATATAATAATAATAATAATAATTAATAATAATACATTAATAGTAATAATAATTA